GTTGGGAGATCATGCGATGATTTTTCGTCTGCTTGTTCGCTTCTATCTTCATTCATTCATCCATGTGTGAATGCGTTCGTTCAGTCATTCAGTAGCCAGTTAGTCAGATATGCCGTTAAACATTCATTGATTCAGCCTGATCCATTCATTCACACTTCTGCACGTCCTCTGTCTGTCCATTCATTCATCCTTCCGTCTTCCACTCATTTGATCGTTCTTTTACTCGCTCTCCCGTTCAACCTTCGTTAAACATTCTTCTTTGCTTGTAACTGGTCACTGAACATGCAGATCTTCCAGCGCAGATCCAATCAAACATTCTTTATAAAGTTGACAACCTTCTGTTACACAGGACTACATCAGCTGAACTCAGGGGTATCGACGTGGTTCTCTTGTGGCATTCACTGATTCATTCATTTGTTTCTTCAATGGTGTTCTGTTTCAAGGGTTTTTTTCCAATGGTCTCGATCAGCTGTTATGTGGACAAGTGGCGAAGAGGGTGAACGGTACTCCTCGCGCAACCAAGTGTCAAGTGAAGCAGCGCCTAAGCAAAAACGATGAACAGCAGCGAAGAGTGATGGAGGGATTCGAAGAGAGTAATTACAAATGCCGCATCTGGGAAGCCACCAAGGAGGATTAATAGAAGAAGCGAAGGATGTACAAGGAAGCTGGTGTCAGTCAGTAGGGAGAATAGATCCATGACATAAACTGCTTTTAAATAACCCAGTGCTTACCGAATGAGTTTACGAGGTTAACAGCTAAGATGCGACCATTTTATTTACGAACTGAGTTGACTCTGATTCAACTATCAGCTTGGTCAATGCGAACTGTAGCCATAAAGCCCACCCATTGAAATTCGTGATCGTGAGTTTTGCATCTCACTCCCTGTCATGATCACACCGTAACACAATACATCCCTGCTGTTGCAGGTCAACGTCTTGGTACTTGCTTATGAGAGTGCTACACCAAGGAAAGTGGAAAATTCTTTGTTCAAACGAACACCGCTTTCTAGCGGTAAAGTTCAAAAATTTTAGGCGGTTATTATCGCAGGAGAAAATGCACACTCGGATAACGATCGACTCTGAGACCACAACCGCGTTGCATCATATTCAACCATTCTAAGACAGTATGCAGAAAAATTTCAAAATCTGAGAGAAAAACACCTTCTAGGAAACAATGCTGGAACAATGTTCAACGGCCAGCACTCGAAAATATGGAAGTCGCTACGCCCCCCCTGCCACCCTGTGCACACGATGAGTCAAATAAACAACTTTCGTTCTACTCTGCACTGTCAGTGAGGAGTCAAGAATGGAGGTTCGAGCATCGGCCGTCGCCGCGTTGTGCAAGGACTCGGTTAAGATCGGTCGAGCACTGTCACGATGTGAACAATGCTCTCCGCTTTGTCGTCGACATGGCTTACGTGCGAGACGAAATCCATTAACCAGTGATGAAACTTGTGTCAACCACATACGGTAGTAAAGAAGGTAGATATGAAATACTGCATCGTACTTACTTCCGGGATTCAGGTGAGGTCGCGCTTCGTCCTTGGTTATGTCTGAGAAGAGCGATGAGAGATGCGGCTTCGGGAGTCGTTTACCACCGGCTGCGCTTCAGGTGACGATAGCTGGGTAAACGGATGTGTCAACGTCAACCAAGCAACCGTAGCTGACTGTAATCAACGAGCGAAGCCGGCGAGAAATTGCTCATATGACGTCAAGCGTGGGAAGATTGGCAGGTCGGATTAGACATGTCGAAGAAGGACATCACGGTGGTCGTCGACATCCACCACCATTTGGACAAGACGACCTGGAAGAAGTCTCGACTGTGAATCCTACAGCAGCTGTTTACTCACAAACGACTTTCGACGAGGTCAGAATCAGTTTGGCACTCAGCAAGGCGGC